CAGCTTTGGATCTTCAGTGTTTTCCCTGCTGGTTTTATTTGCGAGACTGGATTCAGGGTTTATGCATTTGTGTGGTCCATGATATCCAGCTGAGTGGAACGATGCAGTAATTTGTACACCTGCCCCTTTTGTCCTCAAGCAAAGCCCATCAATTGAGCCGCTGATCTTGCTCACACAACCTATTTCGATGACCGCCTCCTCCAGCAACACTGATACCCTGACCATCTGTTAAACTTAATGTAACCTGGGAGGATGGACCTAAAATGTAGCCACAGTCCAGTGATTGGTTGTGATGAGGGAATGATTTGATTGACAGGGATAAGATTTGTCTGGTCTCTGAGGTTTTTCTCTCTGTAGAGAATGATGCTGTAGAAACAAGTGAATGGAAATCCTTGAAGAATGTGACTGGCTAGTTCTTAGCAGTGAACGCTGTAGGGTTTTGCCTTGAAGATAGTAATATAGGAGACAATAATTTAGCAGCAGTTCTCGTCAGCTTAAATTGTCAGACAGTTTCTCCTGCAGGTACTCTCGAAAGGACGCTCAGTAAACTGTCCTGTTTTAAACAGAATGCCTGGAGACAAGGTAAGAAATGGGCACCGAGTGTTAACTGCTTGATGCTGGGATCAAAGGGTAGTCCTCATTAGTCCCTGAGGAATAATGCTATAACTGATATTAATTTGGAGATTTCTCAGCAGGAATTTGCTAAGCCTTAAAAGTTCTTGCCAAGTAATTTGCAACAGAGAGAGCTAGTTACGATTAGAAAGCAGCATAAATCTGAGGAGAATCCCTCATTAGGCAGAATTGAGGAGCATAAGTGCACGAAGGGTGAAGTTTAAAACAAGTGCTAATTTGAAGTGTTCAATGAGATAGATTGTACATAGGTCCTCTGCTGCTTTAATTGATAGAGTTTCCAGTGAAACTCAGTACAAGAAGTCAAGGATTATAGTGGACCCTATAAAAAGATGGGAATATTTTTCTATGTTTATAATTGGAATGAAGTTTAGATTCAGAACCTTTTCTGCTTCCAAGGGCATGACATCATATTTTAGATTGTATCAGTGTATCTCCATCACTTCCTAATTAAAGCAAAGTAAGTATATGTTGTTAACTCCTTCGCTCCCCCCTCCTACAAAAGTGAATTGCGGGATTATTTTTCTGAAGACAGTAAGTAACCTATAATATGGTAATTCTTGCTTTTGATATAGTCTTATGTTGTTGAGACATCTCAAGTTGCTTCACAAGATATACTGTAATAAGGTTTTGACTGTTTATTTTGTGGACGAAACATGGGAACCAGTTTGTGCATGACAGTGTCCCACAAATAACCATGGGGCGAGTGATCAATTATATTTGTGGGATTGTTGGCCAGCACACCAGGAGAGAAACTCCCTTCTCTTTTCGAATAGGGATATTTAATATCCACCTGAACAGGCAGACAGGAACTCAGTTTAAAATGTCATCCAAAGGATGACACATTTGACAATGCAACACACCGCATCAATGCACCGAGTGTCATCCTTGACAGTGTGATAAAAAATCCCAACATGATCCCCTGTGTTGGAGGAATGAGCTATGATGAGCATTGATTAAACAAGATAGGGCTCTTTAGTCTTGATAGGGGACCTTATAAAGGTGTATGAAAATTGGATTGAAAGAGTAAACCCAAAACAATACTTTAGGATGCACCAAGATATGGGACATAGTTTAGAGTTGCAAAGAGCACTTTCAGAACAAACTCCAAGAAGTTTTACTTTACAGAGAAGGTGGTGAAGTTGCCAGGAAGACTGGTTGAGGCCAGGACACTGGACTCATTTAACAATTAGCTTGATGCAAAGGGGTTTGTTCTGGAAGGATGAGATCAAATGGGCAAAGGGTCTTCATCCAATCTGATTTTGTTATCCCATCTTACTGTAGATTGAAATGTTTCAACTCCAGCAGTTGCCCAATTGAAATGGGCAACTAATTACAGTTAAAACTAAATCTATAGGATGTAGGTTGGAAATAACAAGATTATATCATGAGATTTTTAATAATTTAAAATGAGAATAATTTTAATATAATGCTTGTGACTGTCAACTTGTCGGTATATGTGTGGTGCTGAGTCATTACCCTTAGATGCTAAAAGCTGGAGGAAGATTTCTGGGGGAAATTCTGTGTAAAGATCAGAACATGAAGACGTTTTGGGTCAGTTAGTTGTGGCAATTAATGTATTCTGAGAATTTAATATTGGTATAAAAAAATGTATTTGAAATGAGGGAAAAACCTATTTTGTTTCTGCAGTATTGTTACTTTGCTATTACCGATGAACTTAACTTCGTAGGATATATATTACACAGTAGAAGTTCATTCCATGATTGACTGTTATACCCCAGTCTGTGTCTCATTATATTTGTTGTATAAGGGCGACTGGCTACTGTATAAAGTAACCTTCCTCCTACTGATGCACACAAACTCCCTTCATTATCTGTGTGAAATTTGATAAAGTGAAATTGACTTGTTTGCTTATGTTACACAGCTGTAAATTCCTGTCTGTGTTGTGCTTTTATGCTTGGCCACACTGATGCCAGTTTTCCCATGTACAACTTGGCCACTGCCCAAAATATAGTCCCAGGACTCAAACACATTAACAATAGAGGGATGACCTGATAGAAGGGAGTTATTTATTCATATTGCTAAATATTTACTTGCTACTGTATTAGTTTTGGCTTTGGCTTACTATTTTCAAAGGTTCTGATTTATAATGAATGTTTTTGGCAAAGTCTGTCAGTACAGTGGAGTCGTGGGATTAGAATTGGCACTTAGTCTGTGTGAAGAGTATGTGAACAGAAGGCACATGTGGGTGAGTACAGTATTAGGTAGGTGGTGTAAATTAAAGCATTTGCATTTGAATGTAATATTAACTATCAGAATCATGTTCAGACTTTAGGCTCTGCTAGGCATTTCCCAATATTACAAGGGTGGGTCTGGCTTAAATGCTAGCATTCTTGCCTCTGGTCAGAAGATTCTAGGTTTGAGACCACTTTAGAACAGGAGCTTGTAGACTAGGCTGACAATCTTGTGAAATATTGAGGAGAGCTTCATTGGGAAAGGCGCTACTCTTTTGATGAGATGTTAAACCGAGGTCCCATCTACTATTAGATGGATGTTAATGATCTCATGACACTGTTGGAAAAGACAAGGGACTTTCTCCAGTGTCCTTGGCAAAAATCTTCCAGATGAATTGATCATTCACCTCATCACATGTGGCACTTTCGTGAGTGCAAAATAGCTGTTGTAGTTGCTGATGAAAACAGTAACTGTAAAATGCTTTCACATGATTTATGTTTCAGATATACCAACTGACTCCTAAAGACAATAGGAGTGAATCCAAGCATATATACCCATTCCCAGAACAGGACTATATTAATTCTAGTGGGTTGAATTTCATAATTGACTTTTATTTTGGTTTCAGCAACACAACAATGTGTTCTGTAAAATGTTTAATTATTTATTATTATATTATAATTATATTTAATTATTTATAACCATATTTGCTCTTTAATTATCAATCTGATTCTTAACCAGATAATTATTCAGTCCTATCTTATAAGACTTGATTGGTGCAACATGCAGTATCAGTCGGCATGTTTCACTGGGTCTGACTCTTACCTCTGGTTTATGGGGTTATAGTTTGAAACCTCAAAGCAAATTTGAGCTTGTAGTCCATAATCTATTGATGCATTGTCAAATGTGCTGTCCTTACAATGAGACATTAAAACTGAGGTTCTGTTTCATTGTGCAGGTGAACGTCATATTTGAAAAGAAAAGAGTTTCTCCAGATTAATTGGTCATTCACCACTCTTTGTGGATGGATACTTGTTGGCACAAATAGTTGTTGCATTTGCCTACAAAAATAGTCACTACACCTGATGATAATAACCTGTTTTATATGTTTCAATATAAAGCATTATAATAGTGCAAGTTCTTTCTTATGAATTGCTTTTGCTGGTGCTCTGTTCCATTTCCCTGGGTGTGGGTGTGTGAGGGTTCTCTCTAACCTTTACTCACATTATCAGCATTCCTCACAGGAATTGGCAGCATTTATTGAAATAAGTGCTGCTCAGTGAAATCAGCAGTATATTATTACAGTGATCAGCAGCCCTCACTGAAATGGAAAAGGTTTCCTGAGATAAGCTGCCGTAGCCAAAATTACAATTTCAATTTATTTTGAATTTGAGCTATAGAAATAGAAAGGAAAAACTGAAGAGCAAATTAATTTATGCCAGTCACATTTGTCTCCTATCCCACTGGTTATCAACCAATATAGGACCCAACAAGTCACCCTTTTTGGTGAAACATTTTTGAAGCCTTGGTGCATCTGACCAGATCTCCCACTTGGCAGGGGGAATGATGTTAGAATCTGGGGAGATAGGTATTTACAAAAAAAGTGAAGAAAGCTGAAGATGGGATGGAGAAATACTTTAATAACAAATAATATGAAATCACTACCACTACCTCTTTGACCTCCTGTAACCCTACTGCCTGGATGCTTCCTCTGCTCAGCTAACACCGGCCTGTTCCATATCCCCCGCCTCATCCACCCCACAATCAGTGGGTGAGCTTTCAGCCATTCAGCCTCCACTCTGTTCTGTTACTAACTTCATCCTGGAGTCCCTAAACCTTGCAAACCTCTCTCCCCACCTTTTAAAGCCCAATTTGATACCTACCTTTTTCACCACATTTTTTAGTACCTTTTGCGCCCCTCCCCAACTCAGGTTCACAGTCAATTGATTGAGTGCTTTGAGACATCCTCCCAACATGAAAGGTGTTATATAAATGTAAATTGCTGTAGTTGTAAATACTTTAAGGAGAAGGGTTTCGATTTGGCTAGCTTCGCCTCTTCCTATTAAAATTAACACAAAACTAGGTAAGCATGTCATACATTTCCATGCAGTGAATGAACCACTAATTGTTTTGCACAGACTCCGTGTAACAGAAGCTGCAGCTTTGTGTATGGCCATGAAGGAGTTACTGTAAGTTATGTAACGGCACTGAGTGTGAACACATTGTCCATTCAGGGGAGCAGCCATTTCCCGGTGCTGCATTCACATAGGTATGTGTGCTTTTCGTAAATCTATTCACTCATATATTGGCATAAAATGCCTTGGTTGCCTCATCTGCCTTCATTTGGCTTGCTGCATTTCACTATGGCAACAGTGGGGGGAAAAATAACCTATTTGTATTCTGACACTTCCAGTACTTGCAGTGCATTTATCAGTAGGAAGCAACTAAGCAAATGCCAGTGTATGAATCCATCAGGTCTGCGCCTTGGTAATGAGTGTAAATATTCATTTCTCCATTTTATTTTCTTCTCCTCACATGCAGGCCTGGAGCAGTGAGCACTCTGAAGCAAGGTAAGAGATCTTTTCTCTTCGTTAGTCCCCATCTGTCTCCTTAATAAATCCATCAGCCTATTCAAGGGTTATTAGATGTTTTCAGAAAAATAAAATGCATTTACAGTTCCTTTCTGGATTTTGCTGCACCACAATCTTTTATAATGCACATTGTTTATGGCTCTGACTTTGAAATTCATGTTAACTCTTTCTCCCCCCGTCCCCCCCTCTCTAAGTTCCTTGCATAAATGCTTAGTAAAGGCATTGTGATGAGGTACTGAACTGCATGTACTCATAAGTTTCTGTGTTGATTCCTTTACTGAGTTGGCTGATCTTGACCAAGACAGTGTTACAAGTGATGTATTTGGCCTTCATGTTCTGGAACTGGTGAGAGGGGACATAATTGGTCTGGGTTCATTTTGCTACTTTGAGTCGAGTGATTAACTGTTGAAAGTTCCTAAATGTTGATGTCAATTGAGGACAGAATAGGAGATTGATGGCAATGAATCCACATGTTCCTCCGTTTCCATCCCCACCCCCTACAAAAGTGGGCATTGGTGCTTTCTTTCAAATATCATGTGAAAAATAGCTGTTTCTATGATGTACTGAGAATCACCAGCACCTGTGAAGTTATACCTCAATAATGATGTGTACCTTCAGGATAGGAGGGATATAAGGAGTTTTGTTACATCTCCAGTCTACACTGTCTCATTGTACCTTTGTTCGACGTGCATTAAACTGTGAATGTATTTGTGGCTCCCTGTATCACAAAGAATCCCTGTAATAAATGGCTTATTTTAAATGCAATATAGCAGACGGTGAGATGTAGAATGTGCCAATTTTGAGTGGGTTTCCTCAATAACGGAATCCATTGGTGACTCCTTGCAATTATTATCAGCATGTCACTCTGACCTGAAGCACTGAAAACAGATCATGTGAAGCAGAGTTGTTGCGCAATCAGCTTAATGTACATCCTGTTTCTTTGTTGAGGAATTTCATTAGTAGTCATCTGTATGTTATACTCCCCACCAATTTTTTGTTATGATACTCTCCACAATGTAGAATTCACCATGCTTGTAATGCTTCTTGACATTTCCTGAACTCTTTAGTACATTAACCGTAATGCACGGCTCCCTTTCTAACAAGTGATTTGACCCCACCGATTGTTTGTTATGTGGCTTCCTACTGATAATCCAGTAGATAAAGACACCACCCAGTATAGCACCTGCCAACCAGAGGATAATAGGTTTGATTCCTTTTCCTTGATGGATTCCTGAGTTAGCTGGACAGCAGTTGTGGTTCTACAATTGCTCTAACGCCTTGGTCTGTGCGGGAGAAATATGAGCCAGGGTTCCCGTTTCCAATCTGTCCAGTGACTCTTATGTCTAAATGTATATATATAGATGTCAGGTGAGGATAGAATTGTACTTGGCTGTAAGCCCTCCTGGGCCATTGTCAAACAGCTTGTTGCTGCTCAACAAGGTCGAAGTAGTACTCACTGGGTTGGAATATGTGTATTAGGAGGAGAAGTAACAAGAGATCACGATTTTTCACAACCAGCAAAAAATCGACCACACTGACTGGTTCACACCTAAAGAACGCTCAAGGTACCATTCAGCTGCTGTTACTCATGGAACTCACAACAAAAATGCACAACTTCAAAAGAGGAGTAAAGCAAATGCCAAAAACAATTTGACATTCTATAGGCACTTTTGCTTTATTTTCCTTGATCACTTCCCTCTGTGTGGCTTGATGTAAGAATGTGGCATCTTGGAATAATCTTCTTGGATTGTGTAGGTTTCGAATCATTAATTTTTCTTTGTTGATTGTACACAGTATGTGTGCGCTAATGTAATCATAGTTTGACTGGGCTGTGGCCCCTCATTTGAATTTATTTGCAGCAGTTGATCTTTCTATTTACATATCTTTTACATTGTTCTTTCTTGGTCATATTGATGCTTTCAGGGTTCTGAATACAGTCGCCTTTCAGAAGAGGATTGCGAGGGTTCATCCCAGTGCAATCATATACCCTTCAACAAGAATCTGTCCGCCATTCCATCTCTGCCCTTGTCAAGTGGTGCAACTCAGGGATATTTATACAGTTTCATGCTACACTTCCAAGTTCTCTTTGAATAGGCGCTATACAAATGTAATGTTGTTGTTGTTGAATACTATTAAATAAAGTTACTAACTTCAGTTATAGAAAATCTAGTAAAATACAAAGAGAACAATGCTGTTTCACAGAATATATCGAATAAGTGTTATTGTCACTATCAGATAATTTAATCTTTCCTCAACTGTTTTGCTCTTAGTTTGAAAGTGTCTGTGCCAGGAACAAATTTAAGAAGTTTCAACTTTATTTCACTCAGGACCACACAATACGGTATATTTACTCAATGATCTGCTGCTGCTGGAAATTGAGAGGGTGTTTTAACTGAGAACCGTGTAGTCAGATGGTGTGAATAACTTGGTTTTACACTGAGCGTCGTAAATGCAGTAGGCGGAGAGTTTGTAAATTGGTTTATTTTTCTTGTGATCTGCATTTTACAAAGCAAAACCATCAAAATCGGTGAATAAAACCAGCCCAAAGTCTTAAGGATGACCATACTCTTAGTTCTCAGAGGATGTGAAAGGCGCTATACAAATGTAATCTTGTTGTTGTTGTTTGTTTATTTTGATTAGCTTTGAGAAACTTCTACCTGCTGTTTATTCACTTGTGTCTGTCTTCTCTGACGAGCTAATCCTTGCCGTGGCTCCTTGTGTTCCCAGGCTTTACAACCCTTCAGACAGTCTGTTGGAACAAATCAGGATTAGGTCAACTTCAATTTCAATTTATCCTCACAGACATAGTATAAACAGTCACGGGAGGGTGGAAGGAGGAGCAGACAATAATTTTAATTGGCCTTTCTCTAAATTTACATAGGATCCACATCCTGCGTATGACTTATGGAAACTGGTCACTGACCACAATGTGATGCATGGTACAGTTCCAGTTTCTATCAAACGTGTGTGAGTACATGTTCTGTTATTAACTTATACTTGCAGATTAGCTCAGATATTGTATTTAAATCCGTTTTAGTCTGTGCCAAATACCAGTGACCAGCTGCCAAGACCTCCATTAACCTTTGAGTTGTCAGTTCATTATTGCAATGCATTTACTACACTTTATGAAAAAAGCTGCTATCTCAAAACTTAGTTATTACAAGCAAGACCAAAAAAATTTAATCTTAAAGGGAAGATATCTCCACAGATGAATATGTGAATTCCACATGGTGATGACTCACAGGGACAGTACATCACCAGCATGTCTTTATTTATTAATTATTCTCTACATTCTTTACAGACGAAGCTCAATAAATAAAAATTATTTTGTTTGATACTTTGTGCGAGTTGAAACATAAGACTCATACTCCCCTAAAATGAAAAATAAGGATATTGTGATTTGGTTGTTTTGGTTTTGAAATGTGTACACCTCGAGTGAGAGACTTGATGTTGGTGAGAGGAACACTTTCACACTTTCGGCACTTCAGTATTAGCATTAAGCAGTCCCTGTGGGCATTTTGTGAGGGAAAACTGGAAGTCCTTGTTTTCTTTGAATATCAGAATTAAACAAAGGTCAGATGCTGTTGTATACATACTGTACTGTCACAGTGATTACAAAATACAGCAGCAGTTCATTTACTACAAACCTAAATCATCTGTACAGTAATTCTGTGCTTATCAGTTCATCACAGGAAGGAGATTCATGTGGAGAGGTAATTGCAAGCACCACAGGTTTTCTATGTAAGAATTACTAGTTTTAGAGCACGAGATGATGGCCACAGTTGTCTTTTTTCCTGAAGTAATTTCATAAATGCATCGGTCTTGGCTTTCTGTTTCAGCACGCACCATTCCTGGCTGAGAGAGCAAGCTTTGACCTGCTCCTAAACCTCTGCACTGTACAACAGGGCATGAGAAAGTATGTGTGATGTCTGGCTCTCCAGTTTTTGTATTGATCTCTCCAGCAAAATCTTTTACTCCTATCAGCCCTGCTGAGATCAATTACTCGACACGTGACCAAAGTATTACCAACCATCAAAACATGATTTAAATCAAAGTATTGATTTAAATGTATAAATAAAGCCATATTGTTTCTATTTCGCAAATTAACATTTACCCACAAATTACAGTCACTGCTATTTCAGTATACCCCATGAAGGAGTATTCATGTTATTACTCCAACTTCTTCCCTATCTTTCCTTGCTCTCCATTCAGTGTTCAACTTCATTGGGTTTCATCTCTAGGTCCTGACCAAGCACACTGCTTCAATGGTTAATCCAGTTCTCAGACTTTTGTTGGTAATTCCTCGCCCTGATACTGACATTCAGTTACCCTGTTGCATATATTACCAAGTACTTAACTGGTCAAGAACAGTTGTGTATTTCCAGTATTGGGAATTCCAAACCCTCTGCTTCCATTGTTGGAAATATTTCACTAAAGGTATGAACCTTGATCCTTCAACTGCAGCTTTGATCTGAACATTTAAGTTGTGTTTATTAATGATGTATTTATGTGATGTTGTGATTTCTCAGGTTGGAGACTGGATGTGCCTCAACATGGGAAGATGGTCCTATTCTCCCTGCTTCTGTTGGTTCCTGCTAGCTTGTGATTGGCTTGGCAATTTGAGGCTGTGTGCAGAATTGCACAAAATACAAGAGTCATGTCTCTCCATGTGGAGCTGAGAACAGGTTCTTCCAGTAGCTCTGCCAGCAGATCTCCAGAACGCCAGCATGTTGCAAGCCCCAATAAACTAAATCCTACACGATCTGATGTCACCATTAAATCACAGTGCCGACTTTCTCCCAACCCAATTGTTCGAAGATCCCACGTACAGAGACGCAGTTTGCCTTCAAATACAAAGATGGATTTCTTGGGTTTTCCTGACAGCAAAAAATCCACAGTTTCACTCATCCGCACACGCTCAGAGACCAACCCCCTTTGTGAAAAATTTCCTACCAGCCCAGGTAGGTCAACTGCCCCAACCTCGCCAGTGTGCATTAGGACAAAACCATTTTGCCCCCTCAATGTGAACAATACAAAAGCAGTGTCCGGATTTGGTCCTGAAGGAAAGAGCTCTGTTGTTACATTCAGTTACATTGAAAAAGCCAGAGTGAAAACTGTCAATCCATTCAGTGTGTCCGTCCTTCCTCAGCAAGCAAAGATTACTGCCTCAGGTCAGCATTCCTGCATTGGAAGAAAAAGCCCCCAAACTGGACCCAAAGTACAGCAGGGGGTTGCTACAAAGATAGTTCATACAAGGAGTTTGGACACAGAAACAAATTCAATGACTGCAACCACCTTGCATAGACCATCCAGTGACAATGGCTTAGCTTCCACACAAGGCTCCAATCCATCAGAAGGGAGGGAAATCTCAAAGAGCTTGTGCGATAAACAGGTAAAGTACTGACAAGGCATCATGTGCAGATTTCATGCAAGATTTCAAAGTTTGTAAATCGTTTCTCATCAATCTTCAAATTAAATAAATCAGTAGCGTTACAAGTAAAACACTGCGGTTGTGTGAGTGAGATAATCGATGAAAGAAACCAACCTGACTGATTACCATTTATGGTCCTCTCTGTCACCTGATGAGATTTATGGCTTTATGTGTCAGGTGTAGCTTTGTGTGTAGTTTCCCAACTTCGCAAGCACTAGAGGAAGAATCAATGGAAAATCTTCATTAAGTGCATTTGAGGTGCAAACACTGTTTGTGGGACACTGCTGTGTGTAATTGGCTGCCGCATTTCGCCCCAAAATATAGTCAATTGACTTTACAGTATATACTGTGAAGTGCTTTGAGATGTCTCGAAGACATGATAGGGCACTATATTAAATGCAAGGATTATTATTAATGGGATTGAATCCAGTCACCATGAGAGTCCAGTGTCCTATTGGAGTTTCTGGGTTGCTATCTAATTCTTTAACTGCTGGCAGCTCATTCCATGTATTACTCAAATTGCATTGTCCCAGTATTTTGATTATTAAAGCATTTTCCTTATATAATAATGAGAAGATGTGTGGGTGTGTGTTTGGCATATGGAAGCAGGTAGGATAATGCTGATGCCTGGCAGTTGTGTCCTGATCAGAAAGTAGATACAACCTTCAAGATAGTATCAAAGAAACTTTTTGTAGTAATAGGGACCACTGGAATTTTACATTTTTCAAGCCCCACACTCATCTTCAAATCCCATCCTGGCTCCTCCCTACCTCTCTGAAACTTCTTACTCCCCAACCTACTATCCGCTGCCACCACACGACTGGCTCCGGCTTCCAGCTTGTCCCTCATGCCCTCCATTCCACTATTGGTGGTCACACTTTCAGCCACAATGCCCTGAAACTCTTGAACACTCTTCCTCCACTGGCTCGGAGTTGTGCTCCACTACTGTTGAGCGCTTTGGGATGCTATCCTGCCTGAGGGCCGCTATATAAATGTTTTTGTTCATTAGGAATTATACTTGTTGCAAATTGAGGGAAGCTTTATTCCGTGATCCTTTTTACTATAAGTGAAGGTGCCATTTTATCTCCAGCCAGGATCCAGCATCCTGTATAAAACGTCTTCTCTGTACTTCTGACACAGGTTCTGCAATGAAATCATTTATACTTTGCATTCCTCCTTTATTCTGACCCTACCAGCTGTCTAGCCTCTTTGTCCCTGTCACGTCCCTTGCCATTTGTCTTCATTCCTGCACCCCTCCCCTTTGACAGTCTTCAGGTCTTTAAATGCTGCCATGTTTATGAAGCAGTTGTGAGTCGATGCGGAGGCACTGGAGCAACAACTTAGACTAAATTCTGCCCTAGAGACTTAAGACTCCTGTGAAATCCTGGAGAATTTGGCAGGTACATGTTATCACGCAGGGTCAAAAGGGAGGGGAATTGAATGCTGAGGTAATTGAAAAAGCTGTGCTGTGAAAGTCATGCTCTCTCTCTGCTTTTTGATTAGAAAGGTCTGATGTGAATAGTTGAACTTGAATTTCTTTGAGTAACGGAACTGACCTATAGTACTCTCACTGTGGAAAGGGTTGGTCTATGGCACTTGAAACTCTGACAGAACAAACCCATCTTTTACTTTGAATGTCGAGTATTGATTGACAACCACCAAAATGCTGCTCAAAGGTAGGACTATGCTTGGACTGGGGCTAAATGGGTGCTGTTCTTCAACTGCAAATAGTGGTTATTATAAACCTGTTGTAATCATGGCGGATTAAAAGTGTGAATAGTCCGAGGTTTTGTGATTACAGTTAAATATTACATTAGGATGAAATTCAATGTCCTGCACTTTACCTGTCAGGAATTCTGGAAGAGAGTGGCACTAAAGTCAGGTCTCTGATTGATCTCAGCAGACGTGAGTTAATGGCAGGAATGTAAAGGGTGTAATTTAGTCCAGGGCTTTCAATGTTCACGCATTCCATAAATGACACCAAACCCCCCCACCCCTTCCACGGATGGAATGGCACCAGTCTTTTACTTGCTGTCAGATTTTCAGTATCATTGACTTTGTGTTTGATTGCTCAGGCAGAATATAGCCTGCATTTACCTCTAGCCCAATGTTTTACTGTTTCGTTCTGGTTTGAAACTTCTGACACCATGTATTGATTGTTTTTTTTCTCCACGGCTGATGTAGAGATGGGAGAGAGGATATTCCAGTGGATTGTGACCTTTCACCTAAGAGTTGACTCTAGCATGTCACTCTGCTCTTGTTACAAGGCTGTACTTTTCACAGCTGGAGATAGGATTACATACAGTATAGAGAAAGCTGTTATATTCACTACGTCAATTCATCAACAATGCTTCATATGACTGTTTTCAAATTAAGTAGTGAAATTGTGACTGGTCATTGAAAGAGTTTATTCTATGAGCATCATTTATTGGGTTTGATTTGCTGGGTGAATATTTTAATTTGTTCCTTTTAGTCATTTTTTTGCTCTCTGCTGAGTTTGTATTAAAAAAAAAGTGAGATTTAGAGGTTTCATTGCAGGTAATTGCAAATCCAAACAGCCAAGTTAAGAGCATCCATGAACTGGGTGGAATTCTCCACTGTTACAATCTGAGGAGGAAATAACACCTGGTCCAGTCACATTCCCAGTCACACACGTTGGATGCTGATACCCTTACTCCCCAACCAGATAACAATCAAAATGCTTCCACCAACAGCATGTGCCTTGGTGCACAATATTTCATTGTGCGTTCAGCACTAAGCCTTCAGACAACACAGAAGAAAACTGTTGGTCTTTCTCTTTTTAGTTTTCTCATCTTTTAACTCTCCTAAGTCCTAAGATGTGTGAATGTTGTGCAGTTATTTTAGCATGAGGGACATGGTGCTCAAGCTCCACCTTGTTACATACAATTAATTTTCTGGATAACTATCAGAAGCCCTTGTTTGTCTCTGCAAATCAGAGTGTTGGTTTGAAATGCTGCTTTGTGTTCTCTTGTGCTGCCTCTCTCCCTTACAGACCTGCGATTCCATAACTTGGTTTGCAGCCAGTAACACTACGTTTGTGCTTTGAATTTTCACAAACCATTCAAAGATGGTATCCCTTTATTCATTGAACTTCAAGTTTAAGAACTTCAAAAAACTATTCAATTTGCAGAGAGAACGGCACTATAAATAATAATAATCCTTGCATTTGATATAGCGCTTTTCAAGTCTTCTACTCGTCCCAAAGCGCTTCACAGAATATACTGTAAAGTGAATTGACTATTTGTGGGCAAACAAATACACCAGTCTCATTCACACCTTGTTGTAAAAGAAACACTATTCCAAGTCAGTGATACAGCAGAGCTGGGCCTGACTACAGGCTGGCACTCGTCTAGTTTATTTGAAGAGTTATCAGGTCCTACAGAGATTGTATTAAATGTGGGAAATTAATGGGGATCTGCAAAGAGAGGCCACAATCTGAACCTGTGGATATTTATGGAATGAAAGAGAGGGATTTTAACTGTGGCCTGCACAGATGGTTCTCACCAATGAGAACTATAAACTAGTTTAGTTTATAGTATTTAGAATAGTGCAGGTTGAGTATGATTTGCAGAGAATGGGCCTCACTATGGAGAAGTCCTGATTCCAGTTTTTTTTTTATGCCAGATACCCAGCAAGTGGCAAAATGGCTGGAACATTTGACTGACATGCTGGGTGTTGGCAGGCAGCAGACCAAAGCAGTTCTTCATAATTGGTCTGGGAATTGTTCTGAGAAACTGATGAGGAATGCAAAGTACTGGTTTCTCAGAATGTGGTTGCCAGTTAAAATTGGTTTATTCCTTTTTGCTCCAGTGAACACCTCTACTGGATTATTATTTTTGTCTGTCTGTCATGGGATTCTTGCTTCTTCCAATTTAAACCAAGACAAGTCTAGAATGTACTGCATACCATAACTATGCTTTGCAATGTGTGAATATTGGATACTATTCTGAAGTTTAAAATAAAAACCGTGCTATTTGGTGGTACTCAAAGGGGTCCCACAGATACTTTACCACACAACGTTAAATACCTTTAAAGCTTATTGAATATTAATAACTGCTTTGTCACTACAGTGCAAATTCAAAGAGGGTATGAAACAAAAATAGATGTAAAGTACTATTTGCATGTATCTATCATTCTTTCTTCCCTCGCTCTCACAGTATGTGAGTTGTGTGTGAGCAGAGGGAGATATTGACTATCTTTATGACACTTACTCTCGGTTTGGTCATTTGTCTTAGTTTCTGAAGCGAGATTCTATACAGCTGGTAAAATTATTCATAAGTGATGAGCGAAAGGAACCAGGAAGTTGAGGTGTACAACTTGTAAATAGGATCAGGAGTTCTGATTATCCATTTCAGGAGCCTTATTCAATTGGTAATTCTATTTGAACAGCTCATCATTTGTTGACCCTTGAAGTTCGGGGCATGTCAACAGAAGATTTTTTTTACCCCAAGCAAAAATCTGAACACAGATCAGACTCAACCCTTAGTATAAAAAGGACAGTTCTCTAACTAACCTCAATGACCAAGCTCCAACAAAATTACTTACTAAGTTCAGTAATATTCAATATGAAGGACTTCATGGAAATTTCAGGATATCAATCCAAATATTCTGGATGTAAGGAAAGTAACATCTAAGTTGGTCAATGACCAACAGTCTCAGGTGGACTGTGAGGTTTTTAGGATTTAAGGTTATGTTTATGCCCAATTTTTTTCTGTATAACGTGAAAAGGAGATGGGAAGGTACATGAAGAGAGATTGCTATAATGTGGAAGGATATGGTTGACTTTTAGAGAGACTCCGTATATACAGCTTGCACTATTTTGCACAGCATTTAATTAACTTATTTGTAGTTCACTTTGCATTTTGAATTGTTCTTGACACGTTATGCCTCCAAATGACAATACCTGAACATTACCAAGGTCAATTGATTGCTTAAGGTAAACTCTGATACACTGAAAGATATTGGTGTTTCAGCTTGTTTTCGAATGACATGAATGGATAACCATCATTGTAATGGAATTACAAACCACTTATTGAGTGTTGTACCTTTTGTTTAGCTCATACATTATTGTGCTTCTTTTAGATCAATGAAAATTGGATTCTTCCAGTTAGAAATTGCTTAATTTGTGTAAACCTTGACTGATTCATAAAATTGATTGTTACTGTAGAACTGAATGAACACTCAGCAAGATAAAGTCTAGTCAGTCTCATTGGTGTTATGTGTGAAGCATCCAGTCAATTTCAAGTCAAGCTGTTATCAAACGGCTAGTGTTATGTGTGAAGCATTCAGTCTGTTTCAGGTCAGGCAGTTATTATAAAAAGGCTAATAATGCAGTCAATTACAGGCCTTTATAACAACAACAAGAAATCAGCCTGCAGCCTAACTTAAGTTCAGAGCAAGAATTCAGATATTTATGAATTCATAATTAAAAGAATGGCCTTAAGATCAAAAGGGGCATTCTCACCACTGTAAAAATGCTGCTTTAAGCCTAAATGGACAGTTCTTTAAACGAAACCGCACACTAATGTGAATTTATGAGCATGTTTTGGAGGACTTGCAATATATTAAATTAATTCCAACATGAAATGTGCTATGTCAAATGCAAGGATCATCATTATTGTTATTATATGCAATTACTTTCACCACTCATTTTTATATCATATAACAGGTTTACTTTCATTATTGATCTGTTATACAAAAAAATGGAAATAAAATGTTTTAAAGATAATTGTTAGAAACAGCATCTTGTATTCTGACTGAAGCGAATCTGAGAGAATGCTGGAACACTTGAAATATTATTAAATAGTTATTATACAGCTGTTTCCCATTTGCTCACAGGGCAGGAGGGAAGATCTGAGGAATACTGTGAATCATCCCCAGGCTACCCTTGGTACATGCCTCCATGTCAGTTCAGAACAACACTGAACATGCAGGTCATCTGAGGGACATGTGAATATTTCATGTCAACTTTGTTTGCCTTGTATTATGATTGTATTTTGTAATTTTTATTGGTTACAACAGTAGAATGGGAGAACATCAGCTTTGCAACACTACATTGGGCTAGACTGAGATTTTAAGCAAACGGCAACATCCCTAAAGTTGTGTTGTGAGGCATGGTGTTTTTTCAAAAAAAAACAGCTTTGATTTCAATGGAGAGATAGTGATCTATCTATCTATCATAGTTGGAAATGTCATTTTGCTTGAAAAGATTAAATAGTCTGCAGAGTCCCGGATAGGGATGTTTTTCAACTGATTTTTATTTGTTAATACATGGGATTTGTGTGCTTTTATTTTTAGGCTGACCCTTGTGTGTGGCTTGGAGAACACTCTGAGCTTGCTCAGCGCATTGCAAAAGCTAGACGGGAATTCTTTTATGGAATATTAGAACCACAATTCAAAGGTAAGAGTCCAAAGCAGGTAGCATTACCGACAAGAAATACATGTTTATGAACATGAACGTTGTAGGACACTTCTGCCAGCTGAAGTTCTACTGTAGGGCAACATGGCAATAGGGATGGAGGCAAATGGCAGATGCCACACATTGAACTCACGTTCTAGGCTGACACTCCAATGCAGCACTGCGTTGTTGGAGGTGCTGTCCTTTGGATGAGACATTAACCCGACATTCTATCTGCCTGTTCAGGTGAATATTAAAGATCACACAGCACTACTCAAAAAGAGAAAGGAGTTTCTCCTGGTATCTTGGCCAACAATCCCACAGATAAAATTGATTATTCACTTCATGCTGTTTGTTGGACCTCGCTTTGCGCAAACTGACTGCTGCATTTGCCTACAAAATACACAGTCATCACACTTTACAGTAAATCCACTGAAGCGCTTTGAGGCATGCTTCTGACATGAAATGTACTACATCAATGCAGGGATCATTATTATTATTATGTACGTTCATTTTCAACACTCATGTGTTATACCATATAACCTCAATTTAGCTTGATGTTTCACTTCCGAATATTCTTGCAGCTAATGCTAAAAATGAGCATTCACCAACTGATGTTGCAACCAATGAAACACGAGAGAACAATTTGAAGGTACATTCTACTGATGGACCTTCTGGGGAGCAGCAGCACAGTGTCAAAGAGAGCTCAACTGAGATTAGTGTTGTGAAAGCCACATCTTCTTCAAATGGGACTTCAAGAGAAAGTGAACCAAGAACCACAAGAGCGAATAAGTACTCGGAGACTGATCTGGATGCTGCACCAATCAGGTGTTATCAGGAAACCAACCTGGACGAAGTCATGGCAGAAGATAATGTAACGAGTCCAGAACTACCAGGACAAAGTAGCAGCATTCATCATTCAACAAATCCTGATGATAGTGCTCAGATTGATCGTGATGTTGATTTCGTCAGCCGCTTGCCAGCCGGAACTACCGGTAATCTGCATGAGTATGGAGACAAGCTGAATTCTGATGCTGCAGGAGATGAGGTGTTTTCACAACCTGAGTCTGCAACTGACAACAGGTAATCTAGCCTTTCAAGGTTTGGTCATGTTATTTGTGCTTGATGTTATGATTTATAAACAAAAGCACTGGGTTTATTTTGTTAAAATGTAAACTGTAGCATTGCCCTTTAAGCGTAAGTTTTTATTTCAGTGGATAAGCCAGAGGTAAAGCTTCTTACCTATGAGGAAAAAAATCATGTTGCAATTTTTAAGAGGTTCTGAAGGTTTGTGCTTTATGACGAAGCAGATTAGAATGTTTTGAGGTCTCAGTCCTGCTCCCCCCTCGCTCACCCTCCCTTCCTACCCCTGACTGCCTAGAATCAGAGGTGAGGAGTTACTGAGCTGCAAGAATATAAACCAGCATTCCCTGTTCAGGATCTCAGCTACTAAAATGTGATTATCGTCAAATTTAATCCTTTTATAAATGTGATCTATTGTCCCACAACTAAGCAGATTTTCCAATGCCCTTAAGTACAGAGAAAAGTGTTGCACTTCAATTTAATATGAAAACTTAAAGGTGTTCTACTAAATTGCCATCTGGTGTTGTCTGTGCACCTACAGGAATCTCACATTTTAACTGTTCCTGTATCTTATATTCTGAAACTGCTGGTCATCCTGAGAGCAGCCTGTTAGAATCAGCTACCCACTGATATCATTGAAGTTTCTGCATAATAATTTAGTAAATAGCGTGGATGGGCTGTCATGTCATAGCATGCACAGTTCATGACATTGCTCTCAGTCACTGAATTTCTGACATGGTATTTAGTCCTTTTATGCCCAAAATAAGAGCTTAACAAAGTTTCTGTTACGTGCAGTCACTGTATATTTGTAGGTGAATTTCTTTAACGTTAGCTTGCAAAATTCCCTGCAAGATGGGTTGGGAGGGATGGGGTTTAAGCAATATACAGTTTTATCCTTTGAAAACGTTTGACACAGAAAAATATTTGGATCTAGAACAGGCAATTCTGAATCAAGAAACATTCTCTACACTCTTGCCATTTGTATGCAGAATTTTTAATTTTTTTTAAGTTGTCCAATTTTTTCGCCTGCCTCTATTGAAGAGACTCTATCTTGCTGGACTTTACTTTCCACAGGCACTGGCTGCCTGAGACATCACTGATGCTTTCTTCATGTGTGATCCTAGACAAGCTGTTTGGCCATGATTACATGTCCACTTTCCAGCAGGGCTCTGCCTGTATAGTGATCAGGAATGGTATCTCTGGGATTTGTTTTCCTCTCCCTCTTCCTGGACGATGAGACCAATTATAGTGGTTCACCGCTGCTCTGGCAGAGATCAGTTAAACCCAGCATTCAAATGTCAGACTGTAAGGCTTTGTGCTACATCTTTAGCCACTGGGCATCATGGAGCATTAATTTCATACTGGGTTTTAGAATTTTGCAGTCTATACTAGTGGATAGAAGACTCTGAAATATTAAAGAAAGAAAGTAATTGCTTGCTGATTGGTCCTCTGCAAAATTGTCCTTGGAAGCATTGCAGCATTATTAAGAGCTACCTCTTGTTACTTTATTAGAAAATCCTGAAAAATGTAGCAGATAAGATCTATTTCATCTCTTTACCTTCGTCCCTCCCCCTCCAGATCACCAGACAGAGATGTCAAAAACATGCTTCCCTCTATTGCCTCAATTTATATTGTCCGTCGCTTGTCTGAGGATGGTACTGATACTTTCAGCAAACAGTTTGAACGCATCTTGGAGTCTCATCGTGCCAAAGGCACATCTTATACCAGCCTGGACTCAGTGGATGTTCTGTCATCTCCAGCTCGGAACCATGAGAATTATTTCACCTTTGACTTGCCAACTCTGACTCCAGCAATCCAGGAACAGATTAAAGAGAGTGCCCGACTAATTGAACAGAATTTTTTGCCGTGCGCTCATGCTCATGATGAATCATGTGCAACTTCTACCCATGGTTCTGACTGGCCAGGTAGCCCCAGGCGCAAAGAGATAAGAGCGCAGAGAAATCAAAATGTCAGTCCGATGGTGGTTTACAGTAAATCTGAGAACTTACTGACCAGGTGCCAGCTGTACAGAGAGGACAACTTTATCAAAGTGGAAATAGAAGATAACGATGAGCGAAAATCTGATTTCTCTTCCAGGTAGGTCAAATCATTCTGAATTGGACATCAATGTGAGTTATTAGGTGATAATGTTTGCAGAAGCAGCGGGGAGTGGGTTCATCTTACTGTTTCCTTTCATAATAGCAGATCTTGGGTTTCAAATCTCTTCCATGCCATGTTCTCCGGTGTAAATAAGATTGGGGACACTACACATGGTCAAAGAGAAAAAAAAGTTTGTTTTAAAATTTTCTACATCAATAAATATAATTGTATGCCATATTGTTCCAAAATCTTCTGATACATTTCACCAATAACTATGATGTTAGGTACATACACATTTCTCCATACTATATGGGTTCTTGTTTTGGGTTGAGAATGTTCCTCATGACTTCAGTAATGAAGTGAGTTCTTAGCTTTCACTGCATCATAAATATATGCTTCGCTGTCTACTGAGTATCTTGCTGCAGATATTTTGATCTATGGGCATTAGTTTGCATCGGTATGCTTCTTCAACACCACAGTTTAAATAAAAATGTACAGATGTCTGGAATCAGTACCTTCTTTTTTTACTTCATGTGAAATCGATTTTGAGGTGTGAGCTACTTCACTGTACGAAAAATACAAGAATGTTTTCCTCTCCTATATTGGATGTGTGCCTCACTCTCATCTGTTTGATGTGCTTTTCTGCCCCTAAAAGAAGAGCAATATCTTCCTAAGCACTATTGGTTTGGAGAAGAACCAGGTGTGCATGATTCCTTTCATCATAACCTCAGCCACAAGTGCTGTCACTGATGCTTAGACATGACTTACATCAATGTAGTGTGTGCTTAGCAACAAAGTATGCAAAAATACTGTGTAACATAGGTGGTTCCCTTTTATACTTTCATACCAGTTGCTTGACATTTCTGATCAGTCCATTTGTAGAAACAGTTTTGAACTTTAGCTGAAGCTTTATCTGAATTTTTCACAGGAAATTTAGAATAAAGAATGAATATTTCCCAGTGTGCCTTTCCAACATTCCAGAAGATTTGCCCCAATTATATTGCAAATATTTCAACAATGATCTGTTTCCAAGGAAGAATACTACAGAGGAACACATTCTACAAAACTCACCTGGAGTCACCATTTATTAGCATTTTATAATGGCATGCATGAATTTATGATCAGCTTTGAAACAACGTTGCATGCATAAGCCATAAGACAAAAATAATTAGTCGGGCCCTCACCCAACCCCAAGTGCCTTCCTCCGTAAAGACCACCCTCCGTAAAGAAACACCTTGATGTCTGCCCTAAATTTCTCTTCAGCCCCTTTTGCCCTCTTGTCCTGCTGCCTTAGCAAATCTTCTGGAGTGTTGGAGAGGGATGCTGGTAAATATTCATCGTTTTCAAAATTTCGTCATGAAAAATTCCAGCAATGCATAGATTTGAGATTTGAATGTTTTACTTTACGTCGAGCGCTCTTTTCTATCCCTTAAATTGGATTCTTGCCATAGTTATGCCATTATCTGATATTGGATAGCGATCTCTTCTGAAAGTACCATGTAGACTGCAAACTTCAACCAGTGATCAATCTATCTTCTCCATCACTATTCTAATCATTAATTAAGTATAAAATTCTAGGCATAGTTTAGGCCACTGAGTATAGTAACAGGATATTGACTGCCAAGAAATAACTAAATACAGTTAGAAATCTGGGGAGTGTGTTGTGTGCAGTGGGGTGGGGTGGGGGTGGGGGGTAGGTTTTTGCTGACTAAGACGCGATAGGTGGAAAGGGTCACTGGAATGAAAGACCAAAAACCAGAGCATGGAAATGATGGAAATTAATTATTGAACAAGTGAATTATTGAACAAGTGAATTATTGAACTCGTGAACCATTGAACTAGTGTACATTTGCATATCAGCTATTCATAGCATCTATCACAAAATAAAATGACATTAGACAGTTCAGCTCTGACCCACTTCACTGTACTGCTAAGGTATAAGATTTTGATTTATATCTTAATAATTCGTATGACTGATTATCACACTATTAACCACAGTGCTCCCATCAACAATTGGTTAATTTACCAGCAGGAGTGAAATGTCTCTGGAATTCCTATTTGCTTGTTCAAGCAACAAAGTCTGACACTTAGCATTGCTGTTCACAGCTTCTGGCTCCTGAGATGAAAGCATTTAGGTTGGAATGTAGTAAGAAGCACAGCAGTAATGGCCATATTAAGCCAACAGACATTTCCTTTCAGTTCATGAAAACCCTTGCCAATCTGTGAAATTAGAGCCAGTGAGTTCCTCAATCACCTGCTGTCTCAGGCATACAGTGTCATCTCCATTTGCTCTCTCCTCTACCTCCATAGTGCAGGTGTCCTAGAAACCGTTCTGTCTGAAAGGCTCATTTTGAGTTCTGTAGGGCTGCATTGTGCGAGGAAGATTACATTTTCACTTTCAACAACAATAACAACTTGCAGTTATATTGCGCCCTTCTTGCAGGGTAGTGTCCCAGAGTGCTTACTTTCAGTTATTTCAGTATGATGGAAGCAGTATTGATTGTGTTTCTGACAAATTAGAATATGGCAAATTTCTGATTGTTTTTGTGTGGAATGTCTGGAAATGGCACGCGATACCCATTTATACAGTGCAGATTTATACTGTTAACAGAGGACATTATATACGCTGGCAGAAAAGTGGGTAAGATAGAGAGAGTGAGGTGGATTGCTGCAGGCATTACAGAAACTGCCAGATATTCCCAAAATGTATCCGCATCGTCATATGTAACAAATGGGTGAAGGAAGACGATAGAAAGATACTGTCAATGTCAAGAGCTTGTTCAAAATGATCGTAACAAACAAGAGGAAGGTTCAGAATGGAACAGAAAGAAGACAGTGGAGCCTTTCAGCCTGGAAGCTGCAATAAGCCAGAACTCAGGTGGAACACAGCAGTACATCAGGCTCAGAGGAGGAGGCACTTGGGGTTGGGTAAGGGACCGACTACTTCTTTTTGCCTGATGGCTTATGCATGCAACGTTGTTTCAAAGCTGATCATAAATTCATGCATGCCATTATAAAATGCTAATAAATGGTGACTCCAGGTGAGTTTTGTAGAATGTGTTCCTCTATAGTATTCTTCCTTGGAAACAGATCATTGTTGAAATATTTGCAATACAAATTCTAGTTGCATGTTGCGTAGTCTATGATTTGGATGGAGATGGCCTGTTGCACACACTTACCCAGACCTTTCTCTCACTTTCAGCTGCTGCTGGGCTATCACCAGAGAGGGAAGAGGAAGTGACGATGGTGATTCCAGGTGAGAAATGATCTTCAGCTCACTGACCTGAGAACAACCACTGTCTCCCATTACCAGGCAGCAGGTTGTTGACCAGCGAGGTCAGGACATGTAATAAGAGCAACAGAAATAGGAAGAGCTAAGTGTTGGTGTGAAGAGTGGACCTGCAGACAACCATTCACACTGCAGTGATGTTGGCACTTTTCCTCCACAGTGACAAAGGCCTGATCTGTAAGATGATCCATAATAAGTGTTTATCAAAGATTTATTTCATCTCACTCGTCAAAAATAAATGCACAGTTCAGCTTGTGTGACCTCTCCCAGGATGTTGTTTCCCCAGTCAATTGGTTAAACCAGTCTATGAGGCCTTCATTACCCTTCCCAGTTCCTTCTGAATGGAAATGGCATGTCAGCCTTCACTCAATGAGGACAATCAACCAATCCACTCTAGCCACAAATCCAGAAGTCACTGGGAACACTCAGCAGGTCAAGCAGCATCTATGGAGAAAGGACAGTGAGTCAACATTTCGAGTCCACGATCCTTCGTCTAGCCACTATGTAACTATACACCAGTAAGAGTAAATGGACAGTAAACGTACGCATGTATCAGAGAATTAGAGATTTCCACACCAACATAATGTACTTATGCATTCACAGCCTGGTTCAAAACTGTTGAAAGTCATAATGTGAGATAAGAATGAGAGTGAGTGTAATGATGCGCAAACTGTGACAAAAAAATCTGACCAGGGGATACACACATACACCACAGTTAATCAAAGAATGAGATGTAATTGGAGAGAGAAGATAAATTGAGGCTCAGGCTGGGTAAAGAGGGACTAAATGAAATTAATTGTCTATTTGTAAAATTAATTACATAGAACCTTAAATCTAAATGAATCAGATCTGCCCTCAAATAATGAATTGGACCAGAGCTTTTGATCCATTGTTCTATGAATATCGTTCTGTTTCCTGGGAACTTTGTTTGGTGATAATATCGTGTTTCTAATTCTGAGGACCAGAATGAAAGGAGAGGCTATTATACAGAGAAAGTCCAGAGAAGAGTTACCTGGATAATTTTAGGATTTGAAATTCTGAGGATACACTAATAGAACTGGACTTATTCTTGTTGAAGATGCGAATACTATAGTGAGAAACCAGCCAAACCAGGAGGTTATCAATATGTTAGATTATTGGACAAAACCCGGTTATCCCCCAGTGCCTTCGCCTTGCTTCCTCCCTTTCCTCCTTCAAGGCCGGTCTCAAGACCTTTCTCTCTGACCGTGCCTTCAGCTCCCCTCTCGACTCCCTACCCCCTCCTCGCTCCCTCCCTTCCCTCCCCTCACCCTGACCATTTCCCCCTTGCTCGGGTCCTGACCCAACTGTCCAGCGCCTTGGGACGTCCTCCCAACATGAAAGGCGCTCTATAAATGGAATCTTGTTGATCTCATTTGAAGGCAAGAGGACATTTAAAACTAGCTTGAGAAATCAGCCATCAGAATGTTTTTTTTCAACATGATGTTGGATAATCTCATCAAAAGCAATAATGCTACGATAAATCGTTTAAAAGGGCAAATAACTGGTGAAAGTTCTTGGGTTAAGTATATTAACGCCTACCTTTATTGGAATTAAATTATAAAGAGTAAGTCCCAGATATCAGATCCACAAAGGTCCTTTAATTAGGTGATTGATGCTCCGATCTATATAGGAAGACAGAACAAAATGAAGAAAAGATCTTTGGTTTTAGTCTGCGGGAATCCTGGCTCCTTAATAGCATTAAATATTTCACCAGTCTTTTATGTGTACAGACAGGTTTGGAAATTCTCATTGATATTCTGCTGCTTAGAATGCTTATTTGCTTTTAGAAGCTGATATAAATGGCAGCTGTGAGTGGGTTTGAGTCGTTCATTAAATGTGTTCGGAAATTTATAAACACCCTGTATTAAAGGGAGGGGGAAAACCCATGACTTCAGTTCCTGGCATTCAGAACAAAACTCCTTAGAAACTAACAACTCTGACCTTGGAGGATGGGTACTGGAACATTGTGGCAGACTGGATGAAAGCAATAGTGGTGAGTTTGAGGCAGATTCAAATGAGTTTTTTTTAAAAATATTCAATTAGTAGCAATTTTCTTTCTATCATGAAAATTGCAGGTTTGGGATAAGTTAAAATTGTATCCTTCTGCGGGTTTTGTGAGGAAAATAGATGTAACCAAGGATATATTTGCAATTAAATAAATGTTGGTTCTGATTGGAATTGTAACATTTTAAATAATAAACCTCAAACATTGATAATGGGAGAAATAATTTGGGGGAAGGTTACGGTGTTGATGGGATGATGATCATTTCGCCTTTTGATCATATCGCGTTTATCATGGAGCTCCACAATTTTGTGTTTGATGTTGTGTAGTTTGAATTCTGGCTGAGGTTTAGGCTAGTGATGGAGGTGAAGGCCACAGAATTTCTGGTCTGCTGAGTTCTGCTGAGATAATCTGATGAAATTGGAATAAGTACTGGCTGGACAGAGTTTTTTTAAACTTATCCAACTCTGATTGAGTTCTGTTCCAATGAATTAATGAATGCAGGTTCTGGACTCAGTACTTGCCAAACTCCAGAAGGATCAAGGCATGAGGTGAGCTTATTATTTGGGAAAAGAAATTGAAAATAAGATTGGGTTACTTAAGAGGAGAATGGAAGCTTGGATAGGGCTTTAATGAGGAATGATTCTGAAGTATGTTTAACGGCAAATGAACAGCAGTGTTATTTCACAGTAATCCAGCGCAGAAACATCTTTGTGCTAGTGAAGCTGAAAGACATTTCAAGGTGACCCTATTAGAACACACCCTGGTTGGTTTACTTATAGTATGGATCCACTGTGGGCTTGCTCTACACTGCAAGCATGGTGCAGGAAGCACACTGACGTCATTTGAGAAAGAAATATGTCAGCACGGCCTCTTGTGTTTAGTTTGTAATGAGCAGTGAGAGACATCAGCGGCAACATGACCAACTGGAAGGAGGACTGGCAGCCATTTTTTTTAAGATTCCGTAATAATGTTTTGATCTGAGGCACTGCATTGATAATTGTATTGGTGTCTGCCATGAATTGTTAGGGTTAGTCTAGTGGCAGGTTAGACTGAGATAGTTAGCACTGTAGCGAGTTGGACTATGGGGTTGACTTAATGATGGGTTAGACTGTGGGAATTAGTTTAGTGGTGCTTTAGACTATGAGGAATTATTCAGTAGTGGGTTAGTCTATAAGAATACATTAGTGGTGAGTTAGTGTATGGGGGTTTAGTTGGGATTTTAGACTAAGGGGTTTAGTTAGTGATGCGAGAGGCTATGGAAATTGGTGTTAGGGTTTGTAGTACTAACATTACATCTTAAAGAGACATCTCAGAGGAGACTTTATAAGATTATAAATAGATTTGAGGAAACTAAATCCAGAACAATACTTTCTGGTGTTCCAAGAGAGCAGAACAAAAGGACATAGTTTTAGTGTTGAAAAAGGCAATTTCAGGACAACAACAACAACAAGATTCCATTTATAAAGCGCCCTTCACGTCAGGAGGACGTCCCAAGGCGCTGCACAGTTGGGTCATGACCCGAGCAGGGGGGAAATGGTCAGGGTGAGGGGAGGGAAGGGAGGGAGCGAGGAGGGGGGAAATGGTCAGGGTGAGGGGAGGGAAGGGAGGGAGCGAGGAGGGGGAAGAGAGTCGAGAGGGGAGCTGAAGGCTCGGTCAAAGAGAAAGGTTTTGAGACCGGCCTTGAAGGAGGAAAGGGAGGAAGCAAGGCGAAGGCACTGGGGGATAGAGTTCCAGAGCCTAGGGGCTGAGAGGCTGAAAGCCCGACCACCGATGCTAGGGCAATTGGGGCGGGGGACGTGGAGCAGACCGGAGCCAGAGGAACAGAGGGTACGGGCGGGTAGGTAGGGGGATAGTAGGTTGGAGAGGTAGGAGGGAGCAAGGCCGTGAATGGCCTTGTAGGTGAGGATGAGGATCTTGAAATCAATCCTCTGGGGGATGGGGAGCCAGTGGAGGCGAGCGAGGGTGGGAGTGATGTGGTCCCGAAGCCTGGTGCGGGACAGTACACGAGCTGCAGAGTTCTGAATGACCTGCAGCTTGTGGAGGGAGGTGGCGGGAAGGCCGGCGAGGAGAGAGTTCCCATAGTCCAGCCTTGAGGTGACAAAGGCGTGGACCAGGGTTTCAGCAGCGTGAGGGGTGAGGTAATGCCGTAGTCTGGCGATGTTCCGGAGGTGATGGAAGGCGGTGCCAGTTGTGGCGCGGATGTGAGGGAGAAAGGACAGCTCAGGGTCGAACAAAACGCCGAGGTTCCTGACTGGCTTTGAGAGGTGGAGAGTGCAGCCTTGGATGCTGATGGTGTCGGCGCCTGAGGTGCGGAGGCGCTGACGTGAGCCAATCAGGAGGGCCTCGGTTTTTGCACGTTGAGCTGAAGAAAGTTGTCTCTCGTCCAGGACTCGATGTCGGACAGGCAGGCTGTCAGGACATCGGTGGTCGTGGAGTTGAGAGTAGAGGAGGAAAGGTAGAGTTGGGTGTCATCCGCATACATGTGGAAGTTAACTCCATGTCTGCGGATGATGTCACCAAGGGGGAGCATATAGAGGGTGAAGAGGAGGGGACCGAGGACAGAGCCCTGAGGGACACCACATGAGACAGTACGGGGGGTGGAGGAGAAGCCATTCGTCGAGACAAAGTGAAGACGGTGAGAAAGGTACGACCTAAACCACTCAAGGACAGTGCCTTGAAGGTTGAGGTGGGAGGACAAGCGGTGGAGTAGGATAGCGTGGTCGACCGTATCGAATGCTGCCGATAGGTCGAGGAGGACGAGGAGGCAGAGGGAGCCCTGGTCACAGATGGTCAGGATATCATTGGTGACCTTGACCAGGGCAGTTTCTGTGCTATGGGCAGCACGGAAACCTGACTGAAGGGGTTCGAAAAGTGAATGGGTGGAAAGGAAAGAGCACAGTTGGGAGGCAACAACTCTTTCCAGGACCTTGGAGAGAAAGGG